CTGCGGGGTGCTGCTCCCGTGGGAGGGGGGCTGCGCGCAGCCCCTCGCCCCCGTGCCGGAGCACGGAGCAGGGAGCTTCCCTGCCCTGCGGAGGGGACCAGCATCGTGCTGCTTTGAGAGCGAGGTGGGAGGGAGCAGCTGAACAGCACCTCAGCTGAAATTTTCAGCAAGCTGGTTTTCTGCCCGAAATTTAGGTGGTAAAGCCCAGCTCTCCTGCCCGGCCAGCAAAGCTGTGCCTGGATCACGTAGCCCGTTCCCAGGGCATGTAACACCACTTTTGCTGCCTCGATCACTGAGATTTGAGCCAGCTCTGCTCCGGGCAGGCAGAGAGGTGCAGCCCCCTCCCTGCACCCCACCGTGGGGCAAACTGCCGTGTGGGTCCTGTTTGGAGCTGGCTCTTTGTCTCTGCTCTGGCAGAGGCAGGAGATGATGGGAGGAAGCAACAAGGCAGCGATGTTCGCTGAAGTCCTGGGGAAAGGATTTTGTTGCATGGAAGAGACTCATCCCAAACCTGCCCTTCCCTGTCTGCTTGAGAGCTTTAGGAAAAGCATCTACAGGGCATAAAGTGGAAATTCATCCCCTTGGCAGCTGAATGCAAAGCGTGTCGCACATGAGGGCTTGGAAACTTTCCTGGGAGCCTGCGATCGTGGGCCTTCCTTATGTGGTGCTTGGCCGATGGCATCCCGCAAGCCGCCGGAGCTGCCTCCTGGGGAAGCACCCTTTCCTCGGCCAGCCTGGGACAGGCAGCGTGGAGCAGAAATGCAGGGTGCTGGGTGTCCCTGCTCCCCCTGGGAGGGGGGCGTTGAGGGGCTGAGTGTTTTCACCTGGGAAGAGATAAAAGTACAGCTGTGGGAGGTTTCCTCTGCCCTCGGGAAGAGGCTGGAGGGGAGGGATGAGGCAGCAGCAGCTGATAAGGCATCAGAGCAGTTTCCCACCCTTAGAGAAAGCAGAGCTGGGGGGACCAAGGCATCTGCTCGGAGGGGAGCAGGGTGTGTGTGGGGGGCAGGCTCGGGGGCCCAGCTGCGGTCGCTTTGGCAGCATTTTCTCCCGTGATTTGCTTTTGTCTGTGTCCAGCCAGTTCCACTGTGTGTGGCAGAGAGATCTGCGGGCGGGCTGAGCTGGGAGCAGCCCTGGGAAGGGTCGGGACATGCAGCGAGGGAGGAGGAGGAGGAGGGAGGAATTGCTGACATGGAGAAGGCAGCAGAAAGGTGTTTTCTGCCAGGGCTGCCTTCCCACGGGCCCTGCTGCGGGAGGAGGTTGCTGGAGGGAGCAGCAAACACGACCAGCCTTTCGCAATGAGTCTGGCGACTGTGGTGCAGTGAGGAAATGCTCCTGGCACGCAGAGGGATGCAGGAGCCGTGCATTGCCGTCCCTGTGTCTTGTAGTCCTAGAGCTGAGCCCAAAAGTGTTGCTCGAGAGCCCGGGAGCATGTCTGAGCTGCTCTCCGGTAGGGTCTCCCGAGACACCCATCCCCTGCGCGGACACAGCACTATCCCCGCAAGAAGAAACGCAGCGGGGGCCGAGCCCCTGCGGGCTGCCTCTGCCCTGTGCTGGCTCCAGCCCCAGCCAAGCAGGCTGCCTGCGGCTCCGCTTCTCCCTGGGAAAGCGCTGGGAAAGGGCGAGAAGAGTGGGTGGTTGCATCAGGGCTCTGCTCCCCTGGGGATGCCTGGGTGACAGCGTGTCTGCCCGCCCCTCGGGGGACAGGCTTGCGCTGTTTTTAGCCCTTTTCCAGCATTCCCAGCTCTCCAGCGCCGCTGGATAAAGAGCTCCCTGTTTCGGTTACAGCTGATCAGACCCAGATTCTTGCAGAGACACGAACAGGCTGTTGTGGTGGTTGGACACGAGGGAAGCCGACAAGGGAACTTTGCTGGCTCCTTTCGGTTATTTTTAGCTTGGCCTCCTTGCTCTGCTCCAACGTGCAGGTTCCCAGGCTGGGTGGGGGCATTTTTCCAGCCTGGGGGCTGCAGGGATGATGGGAATTGGGGGTCCCAGTGGAAAAGCTGTGAAGGGAGCTAGCAGGGTTACGAGCAACGGGCTGGAAAGGATCCCTGGTCCAGCCATTTAGTCTTTCCCCCCTCCTCCCAAAGTTAAAAGCTCCCTTTGTCCCTCCCAGCCCCTCCACGGGAGCAGGGATCCCCGATGCATCCGTGATAACTACCCAGAGCCAGCTGCTGCTCTCTGCGCGTCTAACTGTTCCAAGAGGAGGTGGGGAGGGCAGGAGGCACCCAAGGGAGAGCGTCAGGACTTCTGGCCGTGAAAAATCCCCCCGTGACCTTTACATAGCTCACTCTTGCCCCGGAGGCTGTGATTTTGGCAGCCCTTGGCACCAGTTGCAGGGCTGGCAGTGAGCACTGTTTGGGAGCTGTGGGTTAGCGAGATGCAGCGAAGATAAACTATTCGGAAAGCAAATGCCAGTGGCATTTGGGGCTGGAATTTCCAGCTGTTGTGCTGAATTTTTGTTAATTGTAATGGGATGATGGAGGGAGCAGCTGCCTCTTTCCGGGAAAAACCCTGGGCTGGCATCTGTTGGGTGCCTTGGTCCTGCACCCAGGCCAAGCTGCTCACCCCACCCTGCAGCTCAGGAGGTGTCAGAACTGTTTTTGTCCATGAATCGAGCCTTTTCTCCACACCAGGCGGTTGGTTTCCTGAATGCATTCATTGCTTCGTGATTTATTTCAGTTGCATGGATTCCTTGTGGGTACCGGGGATCTGAGCTGTCCTGTCCGTCGGGGGGTGGTGAGAAAGGTCGAGTGGAGGCATTTGCAGAGCAGGCGCTGCGCCGTGGCTCTGGCCGCGGATTCGGCAGCCAGTGCTCGTGCAGAATCAGGGTGTGGGATTTTGAAATCTGGCTTCTTGCATTCATGCCAGTAAATTCAACTGCATGATGGAGAACAGACTGCCGACTGTGTCGGGTCCAGGGAGAGCTGGCTTTGAACCTTCCAGCGTGTTGGACGCAATTGTAAAGCTTGTGGCGGCCTCAGGCTTGTTGCAAAAAGCCCGGCCGTGGCCCCGTTGAGGACGTTATTCTGGATGCAGGGCTGTTGTGGGGACTGCTGGCTGTGAGCTGGTTTCCTGCAGATTGCTTGGAAGTGGGTCCTGCTTTCCCCAAGCCGGCTGGGGAGTGGTGGGCAGAGCCTCTGCGGGGAGCTGCAGCTTTGCAGGGAGAGGCTGGTGGGGAGCGGCAGCGGGGAAGGGTGGTGGCAGTGCTGGCTCTGCCTGGCTGTGATGGGCGGAGGGGCTGTGGCAGTCCCCATGGGGACGTGGCAGCGAGTTGCAGGTGGTACAGCGGATAAAAGGGGCTGCATCTGCCTCCTGATGCTTTCCTTCTGTGCTGACAAATGCCACATGATGCTGCCGCTCTCCAGCCTGAATTTCTGGCTTGCTGACTATTTCTGCTATATGCTTAGTCCCTAAACATCTGTAGCGTTAAAGCCTCGTGTGGAGGGGATGGTGCAGGCTGTGCGGGGCCAGGTCATTCCTGGAAGGGCTGAGAGCTCAGCCAGCTCCCGAGACCAACGGGGTGACAGCTCTGCCCTGTCCCCCGCCTTCCTTGTGACATTGCCCCGGGGTGGCTGCCAGGTGGCCCGAGCTGAGCATTGCTCTGTGAGAGGAGGGAGCCGAACGCCCGGATCGCAGCGTGTACTGGCTGAAATATCGTGTCCCAGCTGCCTCCTCCCTCTGCAACGGGCCAAACGCAGACCTCGGCCCCCACCGCTCCCCCGAGTGTTGTGGGTGTTAAAATCCAGGTCTGATTTTTGGAGCTGAGGCAAAATCCCGTGGAAAGGTCTGGGACAAGGTGGGGGGAGAGCCAAGTGCAAGGAAGGATGTGGCTGGGAAAGGAGCGGGGTGCTGCAGGGCCAGGGAGGGGACTGCACGTAGAGCAGCTTCCTGTCACGAATTTGCCTGTTCTCTGCAGCCCATCATTGAATCTGAACTCTTACAACACAGAAGCACGCACGTACATCCCCAAAGGGGACTTACTGCAGCACTGCTGAGCTGAATATCTGGCAGCATGCGGGCCCTGTTGCTATTCCCCTGTTCCTCCCTTCCCCCAGCGAGATGCCAGAGCTCTGATTGAAAACAGCAGGCATGTGAGGCTTGTAGGGTTAAACAGAGCCAGATGGGAGCAGAGCGAGACAAAAAGGAAAGTAAGAGGCTGGGCCTGGAGGGGGGGCGAGAACAGGATCTTTTCTTGGAGAAAGTCAATTACTTGGAGCCCCAGGAATGCGTGGGATCGTTTCAAAGGGAGCCGGGGCTGGCGCAGCCTGGGAGCCAGTGGCCCACCACGGGGACCTCAGGGGATGTC